AAACTTATGTCAAGGAGGGTACATGGCATATTCTATTTGCTCATATTGTAAGAGATATCTATCAGGCTATGATTATATCTATATTTGTACCCTCACTATGAAGAACAAAGGCTAGTAAAGTGTTCTATGTCGATATATCATTCTTGTGTGGGTATGCACAGTGATAGGGGGAGAATCCTCTAACCATGTCATTTCATTTCAAATGCAATCTTAAAATAAGGCATGGGTTGTGGGGGAGTACCTTCCTGTCATTAAAGTTGCCCAATTCTGTATATACTTTATGAGTTTACCCTCTCAAACATTGTTGTCATCTATGTCAAAAGGGGGGAGATTGAAAATGCAATATTGCACTAAAGTGTTTTTTTGACATTGATGACAACTTCATGTGTGTTTCTAACCACATGCTCTAAGTGTTAACAGCCCCGATTAAGCTAAAAGTGAAGCATGGATGGTTATTTCCTCTCTTATTGGAAAAAGGAAAAGCGGTGCGCTCAAGAAAAGAAGAGTACCTTAAAGTTTTCTTAGTTCTTGAGTCCTTAGGGCAGCCGCACTATTAAGAGGGGGTGCATCATAAAAACATCCAGGGAATCAACTTACCTTCTCACATTGATCTGAAAATCCTAGTGCCAAGTTTCTGTTCAGGCCGGAACTTCTAGGACGGCCGGAACTTCCGGGGCCCGGAATGTCCGGGCGGGGTCCGGGAAGCTTCCGGGTACCCAGAGAAACTGCACTGTTTCATGCAATCTTTCTTTGTAGCCCGGAACCTCGTCGGAACCTGGCCGGAACTTCCGTCGGCCGGAACTTCCGGGGCGTCCGGAACTTCCGAGGTCCGGAACTTCCGTCTGTAGCCGGAACTTCCGGGCTACGCAGAAATCTGCCTCCAACGGACAGATTTCATCCCCACCTATAAATAGTCTTCTTCTTCCTCACAAAGGGGTTGACGACTCCATTTCTCTCACCTCCATTTTCAGACCTCAATTTCTTGGAGATCTCCCTCCTTAGCCAACCAAAGCTCTTGATCTTTTGAGAAGCAAAGGAGAAGTGCTCGATCTACACATTCACCAAAGCGAAAGTTGATCCCCCCTTGTTTTTGTGGTGCTTCTTGTTACTCTTGGAGGTTGGAGACTCCTAGGCGGTAGGAGTGCTCCGGCGAGGAATCGACCATTGTGATTTCCCCTGGAAAGTTTGTGAGGGTTTGGAGACCACCCCAAGATCTACCACTAGTGGTTGAGAAACGCCTTCGTGGTGTTGTCTCAAGGAGAGAATAGGGTGAGCCTTCGTGGCATTGGTGTGCCTTCGTGGTAACATACACCTCTCTAAACGGTGACGTAACTTCCCTCCAAGGAAGTGAACATCGGCATACATGCTCGTCTTTCGGAGTTGCGGTTATTCCTAACCCTAACTCTCTACTTGTGGTTACTTGTCTCTTAGCACTTACTTATATCATCTTGTGCTTGCTTACTCATATATTTGGGTCACTTGTTATCTTGTTTAGCTCATTAGTATCGTACTTACAATTGTTAGGCTCACTTTCACTTTCCGCATTGTTGCCTAAAATTGCTTAGTAACAATTAAAATTTGTAACTGTACCTATTCACCCCCCCCTCTAGGTCCATCTCAATCCTTTCACTATGCTCACACTCCAATCTAACTTTCCATACATTTGAGTTATAGTTTCTCGTCCTCTTATATTGCACACATGGCTAGAGCAATTTACGTGCACATCATCCCTCACACACCTTTTTGGAGAACAATAATAATATCTAACACACGAACGAACGCAACTTCGACCACATTTGTCAAAGAAAAAAGAACCTTTCACCACATTAATTAGTGATAGTGACTCCAAACTACGCGAGACAATGCTTACTATCTATAATTAAATGTCGACATGACTAGAAGTTATGACATTGCACTAAGTACATACAAACCAAACTATTGCACGGTTTAGCCAATGCTAACCTATCCATGACCTCATTACTACCTCTAAATAAAAGGCTATTTCAAAAGAGATTTTCAAAGTACTGCCATGGGCTTAACAAAACAACTAGAACCATCAATCTGATAGTAAACAAGAAAATACACACTCACAACTTCATGCTAAGCAAGATGTTTTTCTTAATTGAAAGTCAGATTTTCTTTTTTTAGAGAACAATTGAAAGTCAGCTTTGGAACATTACCTTTATTCTAGTTCTTCGGATAGCGATGAGACATATTATTGTTTTCACAAAGGTCTAACCGTATTTCTTGAAAGCACATCCAAATAACATTACCTCGACGCTGCCCAGATTATTTCAACCAATTGAACAGAAATTCTAGACCTTCACATGTGAACCGAAAATTTAAAATAGTAAGATTGAGCGCTACCTGCTCCTCACCTACTCTTCCAAACAAGATTTCAACCCCGTGACATTTCCCCCAAGTCCCGCAAAACCCAACCAACAAACAAAACAAGGCCATGAACAAGCAAGCTGCGGTATAGCCGGGCATTATATGCCATTATAAATAAACGAATTCATTTCACAAAATAACAAAATGTATAGAGCTAAAAAAACGATGCAAATAATCATTTCATTGTGTATGCTCATACTCCAGTCCAACTTTTGATACATTTTAGTTATAGTTCCTCGTCCTCTTATATTACACACATGGACAGAACATTTTACGTGCACATCA